TGTGTGTTGGCAGTGTGTGACAAAACCACCCTATAATGATAAAAATCCACCCAGTGTTTTTTTTACAATCTCAATAAATCATATGCACTGCCTCAGAACAAGCTGTTCTGAGATCCAGCTCTTTGTGACGTAGAAAGTGATAAAGGGGTTTGATTGACAGTGTGGTTGTGGCATAGACCCCGCCCTCGGTGATCTGTACACACATCCTCCATTGTTTCAACGACAGCCGGTAATGTCTCTTGGAAACATAAGTGTTCTGTCGTGGACTCGTGGGTTAATCCTGTTGTTGTAGCTTAAAAGTTAATCCTCAACTGTGGATCGTCATCTACTGTTTGCGATCCACCGTCACATCCAGCAACAGTAAGTGTGTTTTATGATTTTTGAGCAAATAGTCTTTTCAGTCAATGTCAGCCAATTCAACAACAAATGCGTCTAAAATTGTTGTCGTCGTAGGATGTCTCTGTAGGCTATATAATTTAAACCTTGTTTGTACTGTATAGTGTGTAACCACACGTTTATATATATTTAAATATATTGTATTAAAACTGCATATATGTTCTTGTTCTGTAAGTTAGCCATCTCCTCACATTTGCCACAGAAGCACCCGTATGACAAGTAAACATACATGACGCCACAGGTCCCTCGCATAAATGTAATTTCGCTTGTACGTAGCAAACTTTATCACAGTATGTGTATGTAATTTTTTTTAAAAATGCGCCAACATTAGTGTTTATGTGTGTCTGTGTGTGTGTGTTGCACATGTTCATCATTTCAAAGGGGACGCGATTACAACGCTAAAGTACATAAATGTATCAAATAACCATACCGAGACGTACTGGTCCATTCTCATTTGTATTTATTCTGCCGGAGTCTCTTGGTACTATTTATATATTCCGATTCAAACGTACGCTGAATGACATTCAAAACAGCGCGTCTCTCGCTCTCCCCTTCTGCTTACCGACTGCCATAGGTATCAAGTTACGCCCTCATCCAAAGGCAGGGCGGGGATATGCAGCTCATTTGCATTTAAAGCCGTATACCTCCGAAACAGCTAATTTTTAAGCAGGCCCCAAAATGACATTTTCAAATGGTTATAATAAATTAACTATGGGGTATTTTGAGCTGAAACTTCACAAATACATTCTAGGGACACCAGAGACCAATATTACATCTTGTAAAAAGGGGCATAATAGGTGCCCTTTAAAGAAATTCTACTTGATTTTATAAAGCACTGGTATTGGATCGGTATTGTTTGATACTCAGAATTTTTGGTATCGGATCGGATTGATTCTGAAAAAGATTGTATCGGTCCATCCCTAATTAACTCCAGCTCAGGGCCGGTCACCAGATATAAGGCCCAAGAGGATAAAGAGGGGCCAAGGCAGATTCAGGCAATCAGGACATGCTTCCCATGCTTTTTCATCATGACATGTGTCAAGAAAAAACAGAGGCAACATCATTTTGAGGGTGGAGGAAACGGCCTACTCCAACCCATCTTGCAGGAAAGAGAACTCTGAAATGACCAAATGCCTTTAGAATCTCCTCATGGAGAGAAGACTCACTCAACAAATAGGTTCCACTTCTGTTTGGCATAAACACAACTTCCTCTTTTTAGGGGGTGCTTGCTGAAGTGATGTTAACTACTACATATTCCTGTGGTAGCCACCTGAACCTCCGCGTCTACCTTTTAGGACCTGCCTGGAATCTCTCCAGCGGTCTGAACGTGAGTGCCATCATACCCCGTCCCTGAAATGTATTAAGGGGAAGTCAGGAAGGCGGTCTAGGGGAACTAGGTCTGGTTGGGCCGATTAGGGCCAATTATCAAGACCACCCCTGACCTAGCGCACAGTATGTGCAAGTGACATGCGGACTCAAGACCGTAGCACTGCTCAACACTAGATGTGACGAAATTCACTGAGTTGAATCGCATAGACGCTTTTTTTAAAAGGTTCACTGGGGAACGCATTTCTTCTGAGCCCTGGGGCCAGCTGAGAGACAGTTTCTGTCCAAGGGTTGTCCACTCATATAGAAATAACGCAACTGGCAGAGGAACAAATCCGGAGAGGCAAATGCGGCCCAAAACAATGTGGTCCTTGCGTAGCTGGACTACCATGGGAGGGAGTCTTCATTCTCCCTGGTCATAGCTGTCTTGAGGCAGCATGATTGAGTAGGACGGAAGAAATAGTGGAATGGACTGACCTCAGAAGCTTCTGAGTCAAAGGAGGAGGTGAAGGGCGAGTTGTGACATGCAAAGCTGTCTTTTTAGACCAGTACCAGCTCGGCTCAAAGTGAGGTGAACTGCAACAACTCGAGGTAATGAATACCAATCCAGTCGGAAGTCACCCAGTCCTCTTTTAAAGCATGCCCTTTGTATATGGCCCCTCAGTCGATATTAGTGGACCTCGTTCTAGGAGCGGTTGGCCAGGAGCAATGAAAGGTCTGAAAACAGGCTGAGGGTTTGGCGGCAGGCCGGGGTAATCTGTTATCACATCAGGCATGCCGTACTGCCACGGTCACTTCGGGACTCGGCAGTGCTGAAGGGTAGGACTCTGTACTGATATTTCGAACCCTCAATCGCAACATGCAGGATAGCCTGTGGTGCGGAGGCTAGACATTTGAAGTACATATCATTCAGGTCGAACGCTGCGGACCAAGCTTGGGGGTGGGGCACTCTGATCATGACCCACCACATAATAGGTACAAGAAGAAGGAGTTTTTAAAAACTGGAGTCTGAGTGTGCGGTGCAACACTTACCTGTCTCCACGGGGCTACAAGAGTTGCGTCAGAAGGCAGATGATCGGGTCCTGGAACGCACCCTACTGCTGGCTGGGGGTGCCAGGCTGTCCTACAGGGTCACACAACGCCAGCCTCGCCCTCTTGGGACCCAGGGATGAACGAATTTGCTCTCTTGACAATTTGGAGACTGCTGGACTCCAGGGAGAAAGTGGCGGAACAGTAACCATATGAAGAGCTTGTCCCCCCCCATCCTTAGGTGGCCTGTCTCAGGGACACTACATCTGACACTTGCCACCTGGCTTGGCAGTGCTTGAGAAAGACTGGGCGGCCTGCCTGCTGTTGGCTCTACACTGCTGCGGGAGCCCCGTGGAACCGGAGGCAGCGGCAGGGAATGCCCTTGGTGATGAGCAGGCGGAGGAACTGCCAGCGGCGGTGGAGTGGAGGCAACAGCAGGACGCCGGAACAGGAAGTGTTGGTGGCCTCGTCTGCACCTGCGTGGCGGAAAGCTGTTGGGTGCAGCTCTTCCACTGCATTGCCGAACAACCCAACCTGGAAATTTGGGGAGACCAGGAACCGAACCTCCACCATCTCAACCAGGCTGAGCCAACGATGGGGCTCCTGGACCACTAGGGTGGACAACGCTAGAGTGACCGTGCACGCTAGACACTCATGCCCGTGAGGGTGAGGTCAGCAGCAATGCGAAGCTCACTCATGAGCACTCGGCCTAGACAACCCTCGTGCATACCCATGTCTGAGTGTCTTGGCCTGATAGACCTGCAACAACTCCATGGCATGCAAAGAGGAGGCGGCTTGACCGCAAGCTTTGCCCGCAAGTAGAACAATTACAAAATGTTCAACAACCGTTTGTTATTAACAATGTTTCCTTGAGATTTTTCTAAAAATGGAGAAAGTATGCAACAATTTAAAATTTTCCTCAAGCTTGTTCAGTGTGTGATGCGAGTCATGCACGCCAATTCCACTGGCTCATTCAATGGTACGCAAAGATGATTGGCTCCCTAGCGTGATCGCCATTCAGTCGACGTCGACTATGACAAGCTGTGTTCCTATGAGGAGTGATTACCTCAACATGTAGATCTGTATTTAAGAACGAGGTACTTTATCTGAATGACATAGTAAATGCACCTCTCTCACTGTATTCTGTTTCAGTGATTCGTCAACACTCATCAATGCTGATGAAAGGATCTATGTGGCATTTATATGTATTATATATTAAAATATGTTGTTTATATTTAAATGTATGAGTTAATATCCCTGTTTATTGTCATGTATACTAAGGATAAAGATTAAGTATTTTTTGTGTACCGCAGTTGTGCATGTATAATAAATGTACATTTTCACCAAGTAAAGCTGTTTGGTTTCCTCAGGCCACTATGCCACTATCGTTAGGTCACTACCATCACACACAGCCTTCTCAAATTTCCCCTGACGATCCATCTCACGTTACCATGACAGCAGGGCATGTACATGTCATATTACAGGAGAGGGGTGATCAGGAAAGTAAGAGGAGTTGTTAGAGAGCTAGACTAAGATAAAAACTGTGGGGGAAAAAATAGTTGAAAAATTACCTGATTTAGAAAATACATAGTTTCGCATATCCTTAAATATCCCAAAAATAAATAATTCATCAGTCAATCACCTTCATTTTGATCAAACCTATATTACTTTTTTCTTCTGCGGAACATTACAGAAGATATTTTTAGAAATGTCTTATTTTATGTGAAAACAAAAAAAGTCAATGGTAACTTAAATAATTTGTTTTTTCAAAATATTCTTCTGTGTTTGGAACAACACAAAAAATATTACGTTACTGACTGTTAACATTTAACCGGCCCTTACAAAAGGTAATCATGGTCTTTGATCACAAGTCCTATTCTTTGAGAACTTTCTAATATTTACTGTATCTCAGAGGACAGACATATGGCGAAATACACACACACACACCACAGCTGTATTATTTTATCTAGGTGCAGAAGCATGTGCAAAGCCAGTTTTTCTGGTCCGGAATCACAGTCTTGCATAGCACTTTTTTATGAGGGGTGAGAACCGCTTCTGGCACCATTCAAGATTTGTTGTATTTCTGTGGCTGCGACAAGCAAAAGAACATAAAATTTATGCATCCTAAAATGTTGCATAGCTGCTCAATGATTAATCATGTTTTGTATGTCTTAATATTACAATATCTATGACCCATCACTATGCATTGTGTAATTGCTCTGTTTATGTTGCTCTTGGTCTGTGTACAGGGTATCATCCCTGCCTCCCCTGGACTGGCCGTTGCCAAATCAGTATGGGCAGTATGAACTAAAGATTGAGGTTCACCCCAAAGCTCATCACAGAGCTCATTATGAGACAGAAGGCAGCCGAGGGGCTGTCAAAGCCGCGTCTGGGGGACACCCTATTGTCAAGGTGAGTCTCCACAACAGGACTTTTACTGATGATGTCATTTTCCCTGGCTATTTCCTGTTTGAATACATTTGTTTGTTGATTACCACCAGTGGTTAAATTTGGTTTTGGATTTTCATACAAAGCCTTGTAGCCTTGATTTTTTTTTTTTTTAAACTCATTACGCTGGCCACAAAAGTGGGAACAGCGTGATTCCATCCGTTCCCTCACAGGAAGCAGAACTTGAGAAGCGAGACCACACAGAAAGTGTCTGCTATGTGGCCTAGTAACCTCATTACTGGTCATAAAATTCATTTTACTGGGTAACAGCTAGTGCGGGACTGTGTTGGTTTCAGTTAGATCTAAGGAGGCATTAGAGTAGTCTGATTAGAGACTTTATTTTATTTAATACTGACTACATTTTTGCTACTACTGGCTGCTCACCGGTGGAAGCATACTTCAGTAGAGTTGATGGCATCATTTATGTAAAATTAAGCCAAATTACTAACCTGCTGTGGTACTCTTGAACGGATAGGTAAACTTACCTGGCACTCTCTTGAGACTAACTCTCATAGAGAGAGAGAGAGAGAGAGAGAGAGAGAGCTTGTTGGTAAATATTTTATAGTCTTGGAGGTAGTGGCCTCTTTTGTGATAGCCTTAATGAAGCACACACAACTCAGAAGCCAAGATCATTGAACGTGTGAGCAAAAGAAGAAGGCCTTTCCCTTGAATCATATCCTCTGGCATCGAATGGTCCATTAAACCATCACAATAACAGACCTGCATTTCTGCCACGTCACACCTCTGTCTTTGGTGTAATTATAATTAAACAATATTCCTTGTTTATGACCTTCGTTATGTTACCTGCATGATCATCTTTCATTATCAGACATGGGCTGACTTTACAATGCCCTTTGTTCCAATTCATCTTGGTTAGTTCAGAATCTGGAGTAAACAACATCCATCATGCCTTGTATCAACTGTTCAGGCTGGTGGTGGTGGTAGAGTAATCGTGTGGAGGGTATTGTCTTGGCACACTTTGGGCTCTTTTGTACCAATTCAGGCTAACTTAAACGTTATAACCTACCTGAGTATTGTTGCTGACCATGTCCATCCCTTTATGACCACAGTGACCTTACCCATTTTCTGATACCTACTTCCAACAGGCGCACCATATCAAAAAAGCTCAAATCATCTCAAACTGGCTTAGTTGTCCTATGCAAAACAGATTTTTGTCTTGTTTGTTGAGATTTATTTCCCACTTCCAGCTTAAAGTGGCTTTCCCAGCTTTCATGCTTAAACATCAACCACCTGTATGCACATGAGAATCAGTGTTGTGCGAGCGAGCGTGCCATACTTGCTATTTCAGGGTATTAATGACTAACTTTTTAACATCATAGCCCACACACTATGACTGAGGATGCATAATTACCTCACATTAATGAAGTCTGTTCAGTGGTAGACACACACTGATCCACCCACAGGGAAAAACTGCTTGAAAACATGGCTAAATAATTTTATTTATTTATTTATTTATTTATTTACAAAAGACACATTCAATAAATAGGGAAAATGTGATGCGAGCCTTATTATGTATAAAGCTATTATGGGTAATAATATTCTGAACAGATATACTTGAACAGAAAAAAAAAATCAAAGGTTAACATATAAGCAATTGGCATCTATACACATATACAAACGATCTGAATAAGAAGATCAGCTGGTCAGCCTATGCATCTGCAGTTCTTTGATAAAACTTAGCAATCAAGTAATAAAAATGGTGGGATCTAAACAAACTTCAATAATTTAGATTATTTTATCATTTCAGGTGATTAATAGTAGTTAATGCATAAGTATTAATTAGCAATAGTTTTACAGAATTTATTCATCTAAATTAATCTTGTCTTAGGTTTTTGTTTATTTTGACTCTTTTATGCTGTTTGATTGTGGTTTTGAAACCCCCTGGTTCCGTTTGGAAAAATCTGCACATGGAAATTCTCCCATACCTTCAGACCTTTCAGCGAACAGCTGTTTGCGATAATGTTTCCCATGATGCTTTCTGGGGCATGCGCTGCTGGAGTCTTAGGCTGCTACTGTGGAGTATCTGTTGTTGTGACGTCAGCAGGTGACACCGCAGACTCCATCTGTCCCGGGAGTGAGCTGCTCTGTGGTGACTGGACCTTAGAGACGGCGAACAGACTCCCTGAGCCATATTGCCGTCAGCAGCACTTGCACTGACAGTTAGGACAGACCTATACACATGTATGCCAGGTGTAAGCTACAGACACTGTTTGTGTGTTTTTATGTGTGCATCTGGGTGTTTGACAGAGGAGGCAAAGAAGGTAGTACCTCAAACAATGTTTAATTAGAAAATAGTTATTACAGAAATAAATCAAAACATTAATAAAAAATCTGAGATGAAATAGTATGTGAATGGAACGATATTGAAATTAACTTGAAATGTGATCTATTACTACTTGCTGTGCACTTGCTGTGTTTACCAAGCATTTGTTGACTAATGAACCAAAAAGAAGGTGGCTATTAATAGGTGAACAAACAGCCACTAGTATAGCCACTAATGAGAGCTACACAAAATATACTTGTTCTTCTAATGTTGTATTTATTAATGATGTTCCTTATGCCTTTAACTCAGAAACCATGTAAACGTAAAATGGAACTGAAAAAAAAACAAGCTGTTGTAAGTAACCTGAAAAGAACATTTGAGTCAGTGTAACTGTTCGCAAAATTGTTTTGTTAATAAAAGCTGAAATAAAATATAAATGTTAGATGAAGAACTTAGAATTTAGAAATGTTGCCTTTGCAAATAAAATAAATTAAACCTAAATAGAAAAAAACAAAAACGGATAAAATGAGACAAGCACAACAAAATTACACAAAAAAACATGAAAAAGAAAGCTAAATATATATTAAAATAAAAGCTATATAAATACTATAATAGTATATAAATAAAACTAAAATGTGTAAGTGAATGTAAATCAGTGTTTGTGTGTGGATGATCTGACTGGATACTTCACCTTCAGTTAGGACTGCAGCTAACGAACAGAAAATTGATGCTTGGTTATTGAATTCTGTTCAGGTTAACGGAGACTCGCTTATTGTCGGAAAATGCAACATGGAAATACTCGTGGGATTTAAAGACCTAATTTACAGATAAGCATATAACAGTAAAATGTTAGTTATGTACTGAGGAAAACTTGTCTCAAAACCATTCAACACATGCATTTCTCAAAGTATGGCAGGGCAAGATGTGGCAAAAAACGCTTACGCTTTTGTTTGAACTGCATCAAATGTAACTGACGATTTTCAACCCCCTTTACAGTATTGTTACAGTGTTGGTAGAATATGAAGTGAACCATGTTTACTCATTCTCTGAGTTCCCTGGACTGAGAAATTCATGTTTATTTGTCAGCAAATGTCCTGCATCCTAGTCCTACTGTATAGACTGAAAGCCTGTTTTGCCATCGGTAAGGTACCCCTTTAATATAAAGCATTCTCTTGTGTCAGATAAATTGGGTCAGACACCTTTCCCCGCAGTAGCTCGCTCTGTGTCCGACTCCTCCGTTATTTTACATATGCGTTTTGTCCAAAGAAATGTGTTATTCACTACTGTAAAGTGACTGCGTGCAGACATGACTAATCGATAATTGGATTCGTTGTCGATTATTTTTATTATCGATTGTAATTAATTTTATCGATTAGTTGTTGCAGCCCCACCTACAGTCCATCTGTAGCTGCTCTCGGTCCCGAACGTACTATGACCTTATGTGGATAGTAGACTTAACACAGGTCACAAGGTTAAGGGATGGTCGTAAAATTAGCTTTACTGGGGAAAGAGCAGTGTTTTAACCAACGTTTTAACCAGAAACACATACTTTACCACTCCAATTATTGTGTGAGAAACAGAGACGTGATTTCTGGTGAAATCGAAAGAAACGTGTGTGAGTGTTTTTATCAGTTGTGTGTAAGTCAAGCTGCCATAACAGAAGGCCGCATGCGGATTGCAGTGTACAGTAGCCAGACAAACACCAGCAAAACAAAGTGACAGTGTTTACTGCTAGTGTTTGGACTGGGCTAATTCACAGTTCAGAGATCTATGAGGAATGCTGTGTAATGCCCTACAAACCTTGCTCGTGTCTCGCTGGGTTTGCTGTTAACCAAAAGTCAGCACACATGTTGGTGGAGACAGAGAAGTTTTGAGCCCATCTGGCTTAGACTTTCCTAAATGTAAGTATGTGTGAGTGAAAGATTACAATTGAACTGGTTAAACAAACAGACGCTCACAAAGGGCAGCAGAGTTTACATATGCCATAGGATCTGTTCATGTGTTTTATTCTCAGAGAAAGTCACTTGCACCTTTCATCCAGAGCTTTTATGTGGCTAAAAAAGGCTAAGTGGAATCAACACAGATGGTGGAAATCAGCGTTATGAAAAATAAATTACCCTGTGTTTTTAAAAGGATGATGGTAAGGGAATATTCTAGGTTAACTCTACTGAGAGCATCTGTTGCAGGCTGTCAATTACCACAGAGAAGATGTATAATGGCCATTGTGCTGGAGAGGTTAAAAGCAGAAATGCAAAGCCAATGTTTTTGTTGAGCACTTGTCTAAATGTTGCTTTTACCATTTTGAACATGCCCATTGTATAAAATTACCGACTCTAACTTTGCCCTTACAAGCCTGAAGGGATGATCAGCCTGTCAGGCACTAAGCAGGGAACTTTTCACCAATGTAATTCCTGTGGGTGAAATTTTGCGCCATCAAATTTTTTGTTCTTGGTTTTCTTGTGTGAAAATCATGGAAACTGGGTTTATCAGGGCCCTAAATTGTTTATAAATTTAATTTACCATGTTTTTTTAAAGAACTTATTTGTGAAGAATTTTTTTTAATTGTTATTATTTATTTATTTGGATAGAGAGTAAAAAGAAAATCAAACAACATTTAAAGGGATACTCCACTTTTTTTTGGAAATAGGCTCATTTTACAACTCCCCCAGAGTTAAACAGT